TTCTTCTCTGCCGAGGGAGTAACAAAGACTCTGGTCATCGTAGCCGAGCTCTAACCGCCGCCGCCCGTCGTTGTTGAAGATGATTGAAAACCCTAATTGAGCCAAAATGCTCATTTCCTTCCCTCAAAATCAAATCCTAAGCTAGTTTCCCTTAATACTACCTCCTATAGCCTAAATCTAGGAGAGAAGATCGAAAAAACTATCTTCATTGAAGCCAAATCCACCGTCCGATGGTTCTTCCATTGAGATATATGATTTCTACCTCGCCGATAAAGATTCTCACCGAAGGGATCACTAGTTCTTGGACTAAAACGAGGATAATACTTTTGTTTTTTGTTCGAACGTTCCCCCTTTCTTCCTCTTTTCACGTTCTTTTTTTTTATCTCCGAAAAGCCTCCCCCTCTCTCTTTTTTCTATCTCCCTTTTTAAAATCGAAAATGTTTCCCTTTTGATGTTTGTTTTGGGTTGCATGTTAACCTTTGTTTTTTTTCAGCTTTTGGTGGTCGGAGGTAAAAAAATATAAACCCAAGAATCCTTTTCGTGATGATCAATTGATTTCTCAGTGGCGATAGTAGTCTTCGGGAGACAGAGAGTCACGGGTGAAGGCACGAACTGGCGCGTGAGCCTCATGAGTGAGGCCAAAGGGCGTGTGGCGGATGATGAGTTTAGGAGTAACCCTAATTAAAGTTGATCTAGGCCGTTGGATCAGATTTTGATCCAACAGTAGAGATGATGCGACTACCATCTGATGTGGTCAGGAGGGTAGAGTCGATTACAGTCGACGGTGCCAGAAGGAGAGGACGACCAAGGCGGAAGTGGGAAGACTGCTTGAGATCTGATATGATGGATTTAGCCCTTACCGAGGACATGACCTCTGATAGGAAAGTATGGAGACTTAAGACTAGGATAGTCGAGTAGTGTGGGTCACATCTCTAGGGTGTATCATCTCTGTCTTCTTTTAATGCCTTTGTAGTAATTTACATAACTTCTACTTTTTATCCGTTTCTGTTATTGGTATTTATGAAGGCTTAGAACTGGCCTTGCTATCGTTTGACTTCTGTGTATCTTTCTCTCCACTTTTAAATTTAGTCGGTTCTTATGTTTCTGTCTATATACAAAGATTACTGCCCATTACAGACGCGCATATGATATTAATGATATTAATGACTGCATATGAATACTGTACAATTATGTATTTATGTATTTATTTATACATGCATTGCATTTTATCTATATTTTTTAATTTTCTGACTGCCGGAGGTCTTCCACGGAAGCTACTCTCAACCTGGCGTTGGGGGCAGCCTACTACCCTACCTCCCCCTTACCCCATTGCATATGGGAATTGGGTTTTGTTGTTGTTGTTGTTGTAGTAGAGATGATGCGACGGGGGTGGCTAAGGGTTACAAAACCCTAATCTTGGTTGGGTCGTGTCACCTGGTACCTTGAGTTTGCTTTGTAATGAGTCTTTGTTTGGGTATTTTGTATTTTGTTTACATAATGCTAATAATAATAATAATAATAATAATAATAATAAAACGACAAAATGGTGATTACACCCTCTTCTGGTGAGTTTTCTTTTGTTTTTGCAATACAGGTCGACGCTCTGTGCCCTATGACCCCGTATTGAAAGCATATGGAGTGGAGCCCCTTGTATTCCACAATAAAGATCATATTTCTCACTCGAATTTTTTATATTAAGGGTTTGTTTAGGTTAATCTCAATACGTATTCTAGAGAATTGACCTCTCGTGGTCCAGGTGGTATGGAAGTCGACCTTCAGCAGTTTCCCAACAAGCTTCCCAATGCTTCCTAGAACAGTTTCCTTGAAGTACTCTATTGAGAGTCCCGAAATATGAATCCAAACTCATGAGGATGAAATGTCACCATTTTTCGCAGTGAAGTTTGGTCACCATTTTTGCACCATAACATAATGATCTATTGTCTTCCAGCGAAGCGACCCTCCGTTAGAACTTTCACCTTATCCTTCATAAGTTGAAACTTTATAGTGTAGAGGCCATCACCCAAGTTAATGCGCTCGAATTGCCCCTCTAGTCTCTGTAGGACGGTGATCCTACCAACTACAACTTTGTAAGCAATTGATTTCCATAGTAACTTGATGATTAATGCCTTCCTTCACGGTTTTCTGAGTTTTTCCTTTAGGTCACATGTGATCTTGACTGTTAAAACTGTATACGTCTCCTCTTCATCTTCATCTTCATCTGAATATAGCTCTTCTTCCTCGATTCTTGCCGAGTTTTGGAACAACCCTGCCAAAATAGGTGATCCCAACTAGGGACTCAACTCGAAAAATTGATTTTTTTTACTCAATTCGACTCGAATAGATTTCGAGTTGCAATTTCATAAACTCGATTCGAAAAAATTTCAAGTTCAATTCGAGTTGTAAAATATAACTCGAATAACTCGAAAGTTTTAGTAATTAGTGGATTTATTTTTAAGTTTAAGTCGAGTCATTCAATTTTGTATGATATATGTATATCACATATGAAAAAAATATGAAGAAATATATTTATATTATATATATGGTTATAAAAAGTCACTTAAATTAGAATAAAATAATATTATAATATTATAAATATTTACAATTAAATTTAAACAGAAACTTGAAAAATCGACTTGACTCGAAAAAATTTCAAATCAACCCCGAGTTGTAATATGACTCGTCAACTCAAATAACTCAAAAAAATTTTACTAGCCTCGATTGAACACTCACTCCTAATCCCAACATCGTATCTCGAAAAGATTTACTTGTTGACATGTCCATTTGAGTGTCATTATCCTCTGTTGATCTGACTTTTTTGTTTTACTTTGTTCTTCCTTTGCCACCAATGTCACCATGGTGATGAGCAGGGTTGATTTCTGGCTATTTGACATAATTGACATTAATTTTTTCTAATATTCTCTTTCTGACACTGTTTGATCAATATTTTCTGAAGTAGCATCTTTTCGGTTGAGCTAGCGAAAGGCGCGTCTCCGGGGACGCGCTTTACCCGTGTTTTCGCTGAGTTGGATGCCACGTGTGGAAGGCGTATCCCCGAGGACGCGCCTTTCGCCAGCTCGATTGCCAAGTGTGGAAAGCGCATCCCCGGGGACGCGCCTTCTATTAAATGCCATAAATGTCCCCATCCGTTTTCCCTAACTACCCCCTCCTCCCCTATATAAACCCCCTCAACCCTCCCTCATTCTTCACACCAAAATCATATTCTCCTCTCTTATATAACTCAAATTCTTCAACTATTTGAGTTTTAAATTTGTTATTAGTGGTAAGAAATTTATTTTTTATGTTAGTATTTTTTTAAATAATTATTATATTTTATATTAATATATTTATGTAAATATTATTTTTTTATTAAAATATTGATATGAGATGACTAGATTGATAACATTTAAATAATTAACTGATAAAATTAATAGATCGATAATCAAAATTAAAAATAATAATATAACCATATGTGTAATATTATTATAATTTCATACATTTTTCCTATAACTACAATAAAGTCAAAACTGGTTTTCATATGTTGTTATATCATATTAATGTAGATAATTCACTCCACCTTTAACACACATTAACAAAATACATTTGATAATTCTTACATTATAATCGAAACACTTTACATAATATATTATTAATTTATAATAATAATAAAAATAAAATATTTATTATTAAATAAAATACGTGGCAGTCGACCTGGCGAAAGGCGCGTCCCCGGGGATGCGCCTTCCACACGTGGCATCCAACTCAGCGAAAACACGGGTAAGGCGCGTCCCCATGGACGCGCCTTTCGCCAGCTCAGCAGAAAGGGTGCTACTTCGGGAAATATTGGTCAAACGATGTCAGAAAGGGGATATTAAAGAAAATTGGTGTCAGTTATGTCAAATAACCTTGATTCCAGCATTCGTACCCAAGATTCAGAGTTGCTCTAAGATCGGTAAAACAAATCATTCTTATTGTTTAATAAAAAAAATTATTATTATAAAATTATTAAAAATATATTACATGTCCGTGAGAGAAATAAATAATTTTATAACAAAAAGAATAATTACTCAAAATTTATAGAGTAATTTAGATGCCAAAGTCATACATTATATTATATACATTGTAACCTTTTCGGAAAATTGTTTATACCGTTATATAAATTTCTCATAAAATAAACTTAAAATATTTTGTAAATTTTTAAATAATTATTTATTTTTTAAAAGTTACTCAAAAAAATTATGTGAGTTACACATTTCATTACTAATTTATAATTTTTTGAATAATTACTTATAATATAAAAAATTTAAATCATTATTTTCTAAAAAAAACTTAAAAATCCTAAAATTATCTAAATTCCTAAATCATCACAAGTCGTCGGTGAGGTTACATCACCGCTCAAATCAAAACTGAATTGTTCGAACTTCCAATTGATGCTCGTCTCATGATCATTAAGGGATTTAGGAATTTGAGGTTAGGAAATTTGAGAAAGCATGAGAGGATTAGATATTTTAAAAAAAAAATGAAATATAATATTTAAAAAAAAAATATTAATCATACATCAATGCCATGTGTCAAATAATCATTGGTTGACAGATTTTTTAATAGTTGTTAACGAAATGACCTAAAAATGGTAATATAATTAAACTTTAGGCACCTTAAATGACAATGGATAATATTAGACACATACTTTAAAAAAATATAATTTAAACATTTATTTTTCTAATTAAACTATTTATCATAAAACTTATCAATGGACCGAATCACATGAATGATCAGTATGTCTGATGACATCTATTTTTTTTAATTTTATATAAAATATTTAAATATAAATATAATATTATTTTAAAAATATTTATACATTTCTAAATTATAATAACGTAATTTAAAATTATTCGATTCTATCACTACACAAAAAAATTTAATTATAAAACGAGAGAGAAGACATCATCTGACTCATCACTCATTATTAATTTATGCACATAGATGGATTAAAAGAGTAGAAGAAGAACAATATCTAGAGTTGAAGACATCATTAATTATGAAAAGAATGTCCCTAATAAACAAAAACACGCTAATTAAAACCAATTTGCTCATAATCATGATAAACCCTTAAATTTTCCAAGTGAAACCTTTCTCATCTCATCACTTGTGTTTATTGTGGGGGAACAAAACTAGCTGCTTGAAAAAAAAAATTGTCTGAAACTGAATATATATTGAAAATAGGCATGATAAACAATGAAATGTGCTTGGCATTTGATGATCAAATGCTGTTCTGATCTATTCAGCAGAACCCCAATCTTTTCGGATAGCAAATGTGTAGTTGATCTCCAAGTAGCACTTGTTATCATCGTCAAGGAACTGAAAAAATAAAAACCAAAGGAAAAAAACCTTAAGTTATTCGAATTTAGAGATAGCATAATTAGCACCGACTATCACAAATAATAATAATAATAATTAAAATAGAGAAAACGATATAATTATTGTGTCGTGGTAAAAGTCATTGACTTAAATATATTTTTGAATTGTTGTAATCATTATAATGGATATTGTCTCCCAAGACTAACACGACCTTTTAAATTTTGTATACCGAAATGAGACTCACGTGTGTTGATCTCTTCACAAGAAGTTTTCCGAGAAGAATGAGATGAAACCATCAATTATATATTTTAATTTGGGAGGAGTATACCTTTTATAAGTAATACAAGGATAAAATTGTCAAATAATAACTAGCTTCAACAATTCCCTAAATATGGATAACTTTATTCCTTGCCTAAAAGATCGATCCCTTCGTGTCCTTTGCCGAAAGAAGTGATAAGATCGATCTTTTGTGAAAAGAGATCGATCCCTTATATTTTGACTCACTGAAAAATGATAAAATTCGGTTCATTAAAAATCTTAAGTGTATCTTAAGTCTTAATTTAACCCTAGAACATTTGTATGAGTTCAAATTGGTCCAAAACATATTTTGCTGATTAATATTTGATTATAAATCGGATTTGGTTGAGATTTGTTCTGTCACTCTCGAATATACCTAATTACAAATGGTCTGTTGAATGTTTGGTGGTTGAAAGCATGTTCTGAATTGTTTACCTAATTAGACCATTTGCATTAGTTCAAAGAAGAAAAAACCTTTGATTTAGCTGTGTATGATCCTCTAGCCAATAACCCAGAAGGGGCAGTCTCTTCAGGCATTTCATGTGTGTAAGGCTCCAACTGAGGACTAAAAGTTCCGATCATCTCTTTCGTGCTGTAGACTGAAACCGATAAAGGGTTCGAGTTTTTTTCGAGTCATGTTTAGACCGTTTATGATGAACAACAATTATTCAGATAGTAGGGTTTAGGGTTTTACCTTTGACACCAGTTTTCCAGACAGTGTTGGTGTACCTCAGACCAGATACGATGTTGTTGCTGACTTGGAAAGAGAATTTGAGGCGATAATGGCTCGCTTCTTTCAGTGTAAACCATAAGCCAGGGGGCTTTCCATCTACGGGGATTGCAAGAACTATGTCTTCCCTGTCGGGAGCCACTATTGCCACACTTTGGAAATTCACTTCTGGTTCAAGTGTTTCTGCATTCAACATTTGAAAATATTAGATCCTTATTTCAACTTATTTGAAAAGGTTAGACTTTTATTTGAACTTTTTAAAAGATTAGATCTTTATTTAAACATTTAATATACATATATCCAAAATCTATACATCCTATATATACTTGGAAATGATTATACCTCCAAACATATGAAAAAAATGAGTATATTTATGTGGGATACATATGGATGTATATTTGATCTTTATCCGATGAGTTTCAACCCGATTCTATAAGGTCGAATGTATATTTGATCTTTATCCGATGAGTTTCAACCCGATTCTATAAGGTCGAATTCAAGTTTTAATGTGAAAAATATTCGATTCAACCTTACTAGTATAATAAACCTTTATATATTTAGAAATAATTACTATAATATCTTTTATGTATTTTTTTAATTAGGTCCTAACAAAAATGAGAATTATATATGTGTTGGGTAAGGTGTGGGTGTGAACTTTTATTCAAAAAAATCAGAATGTATTTTGGGTCAATGAAATTTCTCTAAATTCATATCAAGTTAGATTCAGATGAACTAAAAATTTAAAATCACCCGACTCATGACCGTCCAGCAAGAATCCATTAATACATACCTCCAATGTTGTTAATATCCACACCACCAAGAAGCTGTTCTTTCCATTTCCTTAAGCTCTCATCATCCTACACTCAAGCAACCATCCCCAACATAGCATAATGACAGTAACACATTGCATGCATGCATCATGCATGTACTAGAAACACACACACATACATACATGGTCCAAAAACACAATAACAAAAAAAATGAAATAACCTTATCTTTCTCAAGCTGTTCCCTGAGAGAATACTGAGGACCCAATTGCAAACTGCTGTCGTCCTGATCATTATCATCATCCTCATCACCCTCATGACTCTTCTTCTCAGCAGAGCCCTTGTCGTTATACATAATATTACTGGAACTCGGACCAGCAACGGCCAAAGACATCAACCGATCATCAACAGAACAACAACAGCCAAAACTAAAATTACCCAGAAACTGTTGTTACTTATTAATGTCTGTCGTCTTCCAAAAGCCAAAAAAAATGAGAGGAAAAGAATCGTTAAACCAAAGGACAAGCAAAAGACATGTCTGCCTGCAACATAGCGGTCGACCACTTTGGTTTGTTAGGGTTTGGGTTTGGTTTTGTCGGGAAGACTAAGAATTGAAGGAGGGGAGGCGAAGGCTAAAAGAGGAGCATATGGGGAGTAGTTTTTGAGGTTGTCTTTGGTCTTGGTTTGTTGAAACATGGAATTGTAAGAAATTGTCATTTGGTGATCCAAAATAATAGTGATGTTCAATGCCATGAATGGAGAGTTTCTGTTGGTAGCCGTGGAGGGAGGAGCTTGAGTGTAGCAAGAGATAGTTAAAAATACAATCTTGAATTATAATATGTGATTATGTCACAAATAAGTAACTAAAATATACTCTCTTCTCCGTTTAAGTATCTAAAGTATTTTTTTTGTCAAAATAGGTACCTAAAATTATTTTTTTGGTCAAAATAGGTACCTAAAGTATTTTATGTCAAAATAGGTACCTAAACTACCCAAATAGCTAGAATTGAATTAATATGTATAAAAATAAGATTTCAAGTCATATGTGAAGAGAAGAGATAAAAGAGAAAGTCAAAGCAATCACAGAGAGTCAAAAATTCAAGTCAACATTCTCAAATATTCTTTTTGCTTTTAAGAATACTTTTGTACTTCTTTGTTTCATTCTTTCAAGTGTTCTATTTGTTTTGAATTGTGCAAAGACATTCCTTGTAAGGGATTCTTCAAATTTTATTATTTGTAATTTCTTCTTGGGAAAGGTTGTACACTTGAGACTTTGAGGTACAAGTCTAAGTGTGTAGTAAGGTTACATCTTGTCTTAAAAGGTTTGAACAAACTAGTGAATTTGGTGAAATCCTTAGTGTGGTAACTAAGGTGGTGGATGTAGATTTCATTGAAGAAGTTGAACCACTCTAAAATTGCTTGTGTCAAAATTTTCATTTTCTTACAAAAAGCTTCCATCAATATTTTTATTTCCAATTTACCCTTACTTGTCCATTTCATTGATTCAATTGACTCAACAACAATTAAACATGTTTACATATAATTAAAAAAAGGTAAAGTACACATATGGTCCCATGACTATAGAGTATTGTTTTGTTGACTCTGACTATTAAAAGTTACAAAATAACTCTTGATTATATGGTGTTACTTTGTTGAGTCTTCTGACTATTAAAAGTTACAAAATGGTAACTCAATTATTCATATGTTCCAAACTCATCATTTTCGTTAAAAAATTGATGGTCGTCTGAACTGGACGTTAATCACTGATTGGGATATGATAAAATCTTATTTTAATTATGTCTATTGGCATTGTCGTTGCTTTCAAGAACTGGCTCAACAACGTAATGTAAACGGGGAGTCTATCTACAAAATACAACGCAAATAGTTTTGAGATCAAATTTTATTATATCCCACTTAATAGGTTAATGTCCATCTCAAATGAATGCCAATGTTTAGCGAAAAATAAATAATTTGGAACATATGAATAGTTGGGTGACCATTTTATAACTTTTAATAGTCGGATGACTCAACGCCCTAAAATTACGGGATTATTTTATAACTTTTAATAGTTAGGGGACTCAACAAAGTAACGCCCTATAGTTGGGGACTATATGTGTACTTTACCATTGAGAAAATTATAAATAATAGACAAATTTTAATTTAGTTTTTTATTTTATGAATTAGAAATTTCTTAGGCAAACGAGTGAGGCTCTTTGAGGTCTGATGTGTTTGAATATGGCTCAAATTAATGTGCAACAAGGCTTATTCCAATTTGTCCCCTTTGTGTACCCTAGCAAACCAAGTTCAAGAATGAATAAATGGGTATAACAACATATAATCTAATAAGTAATAACTATGTTGCTTGAGCTTTTATTTTCTTGAATAAATTACCCGTTTAATACCTAAACTATCAAATTTGGTGTGTTTTAATACTTAAACTTTTAATTTTTCCAAAATCATACCTAACGTTTAGTTTTTGTTTCATTTTAGTATCTCGTCATTAAAAACTTAACGGGTGATTTTTATGTGGCACCTTTTTTATAGATAAATTGTATCATTCATCACTCAATTATCTTCTCACTCCTAATTTGGTCACTAAAGTTTAATTTTTTTTAATTTAATTACTTAACTTTCAAAATACTCCTAATTTAATGACTCTAACTTTCAAATTTATTTTTTATTTTTAATTATATTTTAATAAAATAATATCATGTCACAAAAATTATTAATAAAATAAATTAGAGTTATTAAAATAAGAGCAATTTGAAAGTTGAGTAGTTAAATTGAAAATTTTCAACTTTAGTACCAAAATAGGAATAAGAATATAGTTAAATGATGAATGATGTAATTTACCCATAAAAAAACAATACCGTTAAGTTTTTAGTGGAGAGATACTAAAATGAAAAAAAAAACTAAATGTTAGGTATGGTTTTAAAAAAAATGAAAGTTCAAGTACTAAAACGAACCAAAATTGATAGTTTACCAAAATTTCTTAGGTAAACAAGTGAGGCTCTTTGAGGTCTGATGTGTTTGAATATGGCTCAAATTAATGTGCAACAAGGCTTATTCCAATTTGTCCCCTTTGTGTACCTTAGCAAAACAAATTCAAGAATCAATAAATGGGTATAACAACATATAATCTAATAAGTAATAACTATGTTGCTTGAGATTTTATTTTCTTGAATAAATTACACGTTTAATACTTAAACTATCAGTTTTGGTGTGTTTTAGTACTTAAATTTTTAATTTTTCCAAAATCATACATAACGTTTAGTTTTTGTTTCATTTTAGTACATCGTCGTTAAAAACTTAATGGGTGATTTTTATGTGGAACCTTTTTTATGCGTAAATTGCATCATTCATCACTCAATTATCTTCCCACTCCTAATTTGGTCACTAAAGTTTAATTTTTTTTAATTTAATTACTTAACTTTCAAAATACTCTTAATTTAATGACTCTAACTTTCAAATTTATTTTTTATTTTTAATTATATATTAATAAAATAATATAATTTCACAAAAAATATTAATAAAATAAATTAGAGTGATTAAAATAAGAACAATTTGAAAGTTGAGTAGTTAAATTGAAAATTTTCAACTTTAGTACCAAAATAGGAATGAGAATATAGTTAAGTGATTAATGATGTAATTTACCCATAAAAATGCAATGTTGTTAAGTTTTTAGTGACGAGATAATAAAATGAAACAAAAAACTAAACGTTAGGTATGATTTTAAAAAATTAAGAGTTCAAGTACTAAAACGAACAAAACTAATAGTTTAAGTACTAAACGTGCAGTTTATCATATTTTCTTTTAAGGGTAAAATATTTGAGCACTCAATTATATGTTTGGTAAAAAAATAAATTATTTTCTTTAAAAATAAAATTTAACGTCTTATCTCATTAAAATAATAGATAGTTTATAAAACCAAAAAACTAAACGTTAGGTATGATTTTAAGAAATTGAGAGTTCAAGTACTAAAACGAACAAAACTAATAGTTTAAGTACTAAACGTACAATTTATCATATTTGCTTTTAAGGGTAAAATATTCGAGCACCCAATTATATGATTGGCAAAAAAAATTATTTTCTTTAAAAATAAAATTTAACGTCTTATCACATTAAAATAAAAGAGAGTTTATAAAAAAATTAATTTTATATATTCATTCTATAGTTGAGCTAGCAAAACTGGTAAACACAATTGTCAAGATTGGGATTCGAACACATGCCCTTTCGGAACGGTACCTGAAACTGTTGCCTTGGACAAACTCAACCATCTTAACTTTGTTGTTGTAACCCCCTAGACCCGGCCTATGCGTTTCGACTAAGTCTAGTGGATTACATACATGATTCTTAAAGACATTTTCTGAAACCGTTATTCAATCATTGTAAAATCTCATTATAAATGACATGATATTATACTATCAAAACCCAACTTGTAAATATAATACCAATAAGTAATAAATTAATTTAAAACAGGTCTTCAAAATCAAAATCACAATAAACCGAACAGTAATAGTAAAAGTGTCATCATCCTAAAATACGATACTTTAAAATAAGGTCCATGTCACCAAAATAAAGTCAACTAGCAAGATAAAACATTACAATCAGATATACTTCAAGAGATATGTTGATCCTCCAAGTGCTCGAACCGAGATATCTAACCAACAGTATCTGAAAGGGGAAAAACATTTTCGAAAGGTGAGCTAGGCTCAGTGTGTCCCAATATTACCTTAAAATCACAATAGATACATTAAACAAATCATAGTCCAGTAAATCTCATAAATTCATAAAAGAGTTTAACTTTTGAAAATTATAGTTTAAACCCTTTTCTTGTACACCATCAGTAGTTCCCAAAACTATTTTCCATATAGCTTACTTTAAGCACACAGCAAAAAGAAAGCCAACCTAAGGATAAGCTTTAGAGCTTGTATCCTTAGGCCTGTAAGTCCAAGTCCATATAGCTTACCCTAAGCACATAGCAAGGGAAGCCAACCTAATGTATCTTGGGGCCCCAAGAGTCACATTAGGCCCATTCTGTTTATTAGCTTGATCAGAGCTATACTATTGTAATTCAATCCAAAAGTTCAATTGCACCGTGTCACAAGTTCCATAAATCATCACATTAAATTGGTGCATCAATAAAACAGTAACCAAAGAACTCAGTGTACCTCATATTAAAACCAATAAAACAGTTCAGTAATAATTAGGGAACACACCTCGATAATAGGTTCAAATAGTAGATCTACTGATTGCTGGTTTCACCACGCTCTGCTACAGTTTTTGAACCTATTTTATAATAACCCTATATTACTTATGGGTAACATAAATAAATCTCTAAAATCATAAAATTTACGGGTCTTATGGGTGAATACTGGCACACGTGGTTTAACTGATCTAGAAGAGCTGGGTCGAGCTGTCGAACGATCCGGAGAATCTCTTGT